AGCTGACATAGGAAAGATCGAACTCGACTCGGACCAGAGGCCAGCGCTCTACCTGCTGGGCCACCGTCACCGTCAAAACAACGACGTTATAATTTGTTTTCCATTATATATATATATTTTTTTTGATCTCTCTTATGGGAGCTATGTGATAGAGTCATCTGATTTTGATAAAATTTAATCCGAAATTTAATAACAGTTAGAAAATGCCATCTGGAAGAAATCAAGTCGATCCGTTCAAAAACAGCTGCCTGAGAATTTTTTATTTCGTTCTCTCTTATTGGAGCTATCCGATATAGTCGGCCGATCCGGCTCGTTTCGACTTATATACTGCGTGCAATGACTACACACCTTTTGGTAAAGTTTCAGCAAGATAGCTTTAAAACTGAGAGACTAGTTTGAAGAGAAACGGACAGACGGACAGACGGGCAGACGTACAGACGTACAGACGTATTCTGATTCTACTCGTGATGCTGATCAAGAATATATATTTACTTAATGGGGTCTGAGGTGTCTCCTTCACTGCGTTGCAAACTTCTGACTGAAATCATAATACCCTTTGCTCTGCAAGGCAAAATCGGACGACTGGGTCACTGGGTTTTCAGAGTGTATTATTTGGAAATGTGTCTTCTAAAATCATATCGCTCTCAAATCGGATGCCACCCACTTTGAAATAACTTATGTTAGGCGGAAAAAGTGGTCCTATAGTGCTAAAGGCTCAAAAAATTAAGCTTTGAAAAATACAGCTGAAAATAAAATCCATTAATATTCAGTTAAAAATGCGCAAATATTTTACTTACGCATGCTGTTCCTTTTTTTCCACAACCATAGGGACTCGGAGGAGTGGAGCAGCGGAAATGTGTGGATATCACTCTTTCCGCGCTTTACGGTCAGTGGAACTTGTATATTTTTTCAGTCCCGATGTTTTTCTTTTCTTTTGGGGTAAATTTATGAATTATTTGCACGCTTGCCGTTAAATTTATTAAATGTAAATGACTCTTCGTCTGCAGCCCACCCATGTTTTTTCTGAAAATTCCACAGCATGCTTCTCTGAGGCAAGTGACTTATCTGCAGGCCACTATTTTACATGGAAGCAAGCTGAAAAGCGATGTGGGTTGTATGGCACAGGAAATATCGCCCGAGGTTATTTACATACATTTTTGGTATAAATTAATGCCCCTGCAGGTCATTAAAGTACCTAGAACATGGCAACTTACCCAAGAGTGTGACGTATGCATATTTTTCGCAAATTTAAAAAACATACTTGTATACATACATCAGTGTATGTGTGACTCCGTCAGGTAATTAAAAACTCATAGAATTTTTAAATAAATAAACTATTCCAAGTATAACACTCTTATAAGCTTTGTTAATGTAATGAACTTTATATATACTTGAATACATAAAATTAAAGTAGGACAAACAACCAACTTTCTTCATCGACCTTCTTTCATGTATTTCTTTACATTGAAAAATTGGTTACCATTTTTCTAGAAGCATTTTAAAGTGAAGTTCATCGCCGACAAGTCAGCTCTTTAAAATATAAAGGACATGGATTATTCTTCACGGCAACGAAATATCCATCTGTGTTAAGCAGTCACTTTCGGAAGACAAGGAGAAAAAACAAAATGACAATCTTTATGGACTTACATTTGCTTTTTAATTTCTATATAATAATATTATTATTATATTATTATACCCTTGCAGAGCAAAGGGTATTATAATTTCAGTCAGAAGTTTGCAACGCAGTGAAGGAGACACCTCAGACCCCATAATGTATATATATATTCTTGATCAGCATCACCATCTGAATCGAAATATGTATGTACGTCTGTCTGTCTGTCTGTCGTCTGTCTGTCTGTCTGTCTGTCTGTCTGTCCTCCTGTCGGTTTCTATGTAAACTAGTCTCTCAGTTTTAAAGCTAGCTCGCTGAAACTTTCCCAAAAGTTGTGTAGTTGTTGCACGCAGTATATATGTCGGAACGAGCCGGATCGGGCGACTATATCGGATAGCTCCCATACAAGAGAATGAAATAAAAAAACCGTTGTTTTTGATCAGATCGACTTGATTCCTTCCAGATGGCGTTTTCTAACTGCTATTGAATTTCGGATTAAATTTTATCAAAATCGGATAACTCTATCATATAGCTGCCATAGGAGAGATCAAAATATATATATATAAATAATGGAAAAAAAATTATAATGTCCTTGTTTTTAATGCCACGAGCATGATTTTTGGAACATAAAGTTTTTTAAATACTCTTAAGTTGAAAAAAAATTCATAAAAATCGGAGTACTATATCATAGAGCTGCCATAGGAAAGATCGAAAAATCTATATAGAAATAACGGAAATATAAATATAACCTCGTTGTTTTTCATCAGACAATAATGATTTTTGGAATATAGAGTTTTCTAATGAGTCTTGAGTTACAAGTTAAATTTCAGTAAAATCGGACGACTATATCACTATATCACTCATATAGCTGTCATATGAACAATATGGAAAATTAATAGAAAAATCGTCATAGCTTCGATGCTCTTTAGCTTTTATGTATTTGTTCGACATATTTAGTAACTGCAAGGGTATATAAGCTTCGGCTTGCCGAAGCTAGCTTCCTTTCTTGTTAATATAATATATTCTATAATAACAAAATGACGCTATTAAGCCTTTTCTATTAATTTTGCATAATAAGTCCGATTGTTTCTATGAAAGCTAGATAATACAGTCTTCCGCTTTAAGTGAAATTTAATTCGTAACTAAAAAGGAGTTTTATTTTAACAATTTCCGATTTCCAGTTTGCCCAGGACATCAAGTGAGTCAACTTATTCCTGTTTTGTTTGAGTCGGTAAGACGGTAATTAACGCGGAAATTTTCCAACAGAATTTTTGAAATCTTTAGGTATTCGTATTGATGATAGATATAAGTTTCGGTTTGCCGAAGCTAGCTTCCTTTCTTGTTTTAATTGTATTATTTATGGTAGGAGGTGCCTTCTCACTGGGGAGCGAACTTCAGACTGGTATATAAATCTGCATGGGCATAAGTAGTATTGGCATTGCAATTGAAATTCGTCGACCCAAAATAGTTAACAATAACCCGAGTTGTTAAACTTGTGCATACGCCCATCGACATCCCGTGTCCATCATCGTAAATTCTTTGGCTAATTTATGCATATATGTATGTACATATAATGGGGCCATTGAGTACTAATGCGTACATTGATGTAAATGTTTGTGTACGCATTTAATTTCACACACTTGTGGGTCTGCATGTGGACATAATTTAATTTGAACCAGAAATGAATCAATCGATGATTTGAGTGCTTACTGTACTTGAAGCTTACAATAATTGAATACAAAATTTACAAAACTTATTAAGTGCTGTTGTATATTAGCCAGGGACAAAACACTAATTGAATTAAGCGGATTTACAAATTTGTTGATAATTACTTGTTGAAATTGGAATTCGGTTGTGGAAGTGTATATATGTAATTATTTCTGAAGCCTACTGTTCCTTTTTTTTATCCCCTATTTTAAAATTCATAGAAAGGGTATTGTTATACCTTCTAAATGTGCAATATTACGACATCAGCTTTAAATAAATACAATACATACTTATACATGCAAACTATATGCTATGTCCTTATCAAATGGACAAACAATACAGCAGAAAAAAAATTAATTTATATGTTTTGTGGTGCTTTCGGAGATCTAAATTTCAGTGCAGACTAAGAACTTACGTTCTCTTATTAAATTGAAACGTGAAAATTAAAGAAGCCGTTCTCAAAAAGGCACACTATAACTATAAGTTTTTGATGTAGCTGTGCAGCCCAAGGGTTTTATTACAAACGCGGAGTGCATCCAGACAACCTGATGGTTGGAGTTAATTCAGGATTCGAGTAACATCAATAGCCGATTCAGCTCGTTTATTGAATGAAATTAGACGACCATCGGATAAAGTAGCAATTCAATGGGAATTCCATTGACTGGTCAGCCTGCCATAAGCCTAATGTAAATCCTCCCCAACGCCCTGCGCGAACCGATGTCGTCGCAGTCTACACTGAAAACGTCCATTAGCTAAGCAGATTAATTGCTAAAAGGTATTTAATTCGTGACGCTTTTATATTTCGCCGAGTTCACTTTACTCTCCACTCCGCCATCTATTAGGATTTGGGCTATCAACCCAGCCAGCCATTTCACCATCCAGACGAATATTTCGCATTGCTTTCTTTTCTTTAATTCTATTCGGTTTTTTTTTTTTTTTCATTTTTCCGACTCCCTCCGCTGCTGTGCTTTTTGAGCTCCTTGAAAATATGGCGTTAAGTATTTCGTGCTGGCTTCCTTTTCAGCTTTTTTCGCTTTTTAATGCTTCATTAGCTGCTAATGGAAATTGTGTAAGGCTGTGCAAGGATAACTAAAGAATCTGGCGTATACTGTGATTCGGCGTTACACAAAATTAACTTAAAAACTGTTCGATAGACGGAATGGCAGAACGAGCGACGTATTCGCAATGGAATCTAATATGGGCAGGTATGTAGAAGTATTGCCATTTGAGTGGATGACTTTCGCTAAAGACTTGTAAAAATACAGCGTACCGCGGTGCCGCGATTCTAACAAAGGAGACTTCTCGGGCAAAAACTTGTGTGATTTATGTGCAAATGTAGCACAAAAGCAATGCAAGTTTTATGTTGCAAAAAGGAGAGTTCGGCAGCCGGGAAGGGAAAAGGGCTATGCAATTGGCAACGGAGTAAGACGCCAGGTACAAAATTAAAATTACCGTTGCAGCTGTTACCTGGCCAAACAAACAGAATGACGGAAGGACAAACCGGAAAAAGGAATACAGGATGTGACGGAGGGAGTATGGGATTCTGAGTAAGCTGGAAGCAAAAAATGTCAGGTGCGCCAGTCGTAAAGCATCTGCAGAAAAGTATCTGATTTTACAAATTGGGGAAATGAAGGGGTACCCTTCCCTAGTTTAGGCAAGATAAATAATAACATCGGTTTTATAACTTCGTTTCCCCATATTTTTAAAGCTGTGAAATAATGTTTTGAATGTAGGTTTCAATATCCTGATTTTGTTTTATATAACTGTAGCCCAGAGCACTTGAACGAAAACAGTTTTCCGATGAAATAGATGACGCTCGTCCACCGATTTTGGGAATATGTTGAACTTAAAATTTAACCTTTTAAACCGAATGGAAGACGATACGATCCCAACCGCTACTCTAGATGACGTTCTCGTACATCTTTGGATTTCTCTGGATGTTTTCCTCCATTATCTTCTTGTGCATCATCTCCCAATTTTCCAGTCTGGCCAGGACATCTGGAAGGACCTCGCGCACCTTCAGGCGGTTGAACTCGGGGCCGTCGCGCAAGTCCACGTTGGTCCTGAAGTTGTAGTTGGGTGTGTAGCCGTTGATCTTGAGGAAGTGGTCGAAGTAGAAGGGCACGATCTGCTCCTGCATGTTGTCGACGGTTAGCAGGGAGGTATGGGTGATCTGGTCGCCGGTGTAGCCGTCCTCCCGGAAGGCGCGCACGAAGTTCTTCGTGTTCTCGGAGATCACGAGCACCTCCTTCTTCTCCGGAACGACCCTCTTCTTGAGGAAGAGCCTGGGAAGACGGCCCTCCCGCTTTGGCTTCTTGAAGGGCGGCTCCAGGTTGCGGCGCACCTTCTTCATCTCCATGTCGATGCGGCGCTCCACCTGGTAGGCCTGGGCGGAGAGCTTTTCTCGGTAGCGGCGACGCTTGCGCAACGTGGCCTCCACGGAGCGCACCTTCTCGATGTCCATGTGCTCGAACTTGGCCAGGATCTCCATGACGACGTCGCTGACGGCGGCCACCATGTCGGCCGTGCTGGGAAGCACGTCGCTGGTCCCTCGAACCGAGTCCGGCACTACGCGGCGCCACACCTCGGCCAGCACGGCGCGATGCTTGTTGAAGTCCTCGTCAGCGATCGTCTCCTCGATGGGCCGCCCGAGGTACTGGTGGACCCGGTGCTCCATCTCCAAGGCGCGGTCCTCCATGAAGAACTTCTTCGCCGACTTGCGGGCCACGTACTCCTGCTTCTCCCTGAGGTCCTTAGTGCACCAGTCGACGAAGGTCTCCAGGCGGCCCTGCAGCTCGGTGTGCACGGAAAGGGTGAAGTGCATCTCCAGGAGCAGCATGAACGTCTTGTTCTTCAGGTTGTCGATGCCCTGCAGGAAGGACTCTGCGTCGGGGAAGACCTGCAGGATCGGGTGGACCTTCTGCATGTAGACGTCGTAGTAGAAGGCGCGGATGGCCCAGGCGTCGTCCTTGTCGCGCACCCGGATGTTGACGATGCCTCGCCTCGCTATCGAAACGTCGTACGGCTCAAGCTCGGCCTCCAGCTGCTTCTCGTCCTTTTCCTTTTCCTCGTTCTCCGCCTGCTCCCCGCTCCCATCCTCCGGCGTATCCGCAGCCTGCTCCCCAGCGGCCTCGCCCTCGTAACTTTCGTGACGGCCGCCCTTGGGAACCAGGTGGATCCAGTCGTTCTCCGCCCGCCAGTCCTGGTCGCCCATGAGGTAATGGAAGTTCTGCAGCATGATGCAACGGATCCAGTGGCCCTCGATGAACACGATGTCCATGTTGAGCATCATCAGCTCCCGCTCCAGGTCGCGGAACTCCTGCTTGAGCTTGTCCGTGGTCTCGTAGTAGGACTTCACCTGGTAGACCATCATCATGGCCGCGTTGTACTCCTTCTTCTTCCATTTGGCAAAGAGGGCCTCGTATAGGTTCTTGGTGTTCTTCATGTCCACCCAGTGCCGCTCGTTCATGCGGTCGTAGATCTTGGTGCGCACCATCTGGCCCTGGATCAGCAGGGACTCGTACTTGAGCCGCATGGCGTCCTTTAGCAGCTGAATGCTGGTCTTAAACTTGAACGACTTGATGGTGGCGCGGCTCTTCAGCTCCTCAATGTAGTTCTCGTCGAGGTCGGTGATCACCGCCCCGTAGTACTTGCGGTTCCCCGGCCCGAGAAGCGTTTGGCGGACGTCCGGCACCGGGACCTCCAGCCGAAGCCGCAGGCTGTTCCGCAGCCGGGTGCTGAAGGTGAAGAAGGTGTCCTTGGGCCCCAGCATGTCGGCCTGCTCCTTGTGCTGCCCCGAAAAGGGCAGCATGCGGTAGGGGTCTTCGTCCTCGGCGTTCACGTCGATGACCGCCGCGTGAAAGCGCGCACGCCGCATCTCCTCGAATGGCACCAGCGGCTTGCGGATGTAGTCGAGCGGCAGCTTAGTCCGGTCCTCGATCACCATGTAGCTGCCGCTGTCGTTTGAGAGGTCCGTGCAGTTGGAGCTACTCAGCGAGCTGAGGCAGTTCTCGATGCTCTTGAGGTCCTCCTCGAGCTCAGCGACCACAGCGCGGCGGTCCACCAGCAGGCGCTCCTCGCCCGGCTCGATGTCCTTGGTCTCGTAGATGGCCTCGCGCGTCTCGCGCAGCAGCTCTAGGTATTGCTTCCGGCCCGGAAAGTCCAGCTTGGCCAGCTCCTCGGGGTCCCGCGAGTGAAAGACGAAGTCGTACGGCCGGCAGAGGTCCGGCACCCTCTCGCCGGCGGCCTCCTTGCTGTCCGTGCGGGTGGCGGCCAGGTGCTCGGCGATCATCGCTTCAAAGTCGTAGCTGGGCATCGTCAGGTCCTTGTCCACGTACTTGCTGCTGGGCGGGTTGGCCCGCTCGAACTTCGCCACCGGCTCGCGCACCTTCTTGGCCACCTTCGTGATCTCGGGCACCACGGTCTTGGGCTGGTACTGCACGTGCACGTCCTTCACCTGCGTCGGGGCCCAATGGTCGTGGTGGTGCCTGGCCTCGAAGATCTCGGTGTACGGGCGCTTTTTGGTCCTCACGTTGGCGAAGCGGAGCTTCTCCGGCTCAGGCTGTTCTAGCAGTGGCAGCGTCGAGTGCTGCAGCACCTCCTTGAAGATCGCCGACGGAATACGCTCCGCGGCGTAGTCGCGCCTCCTTCGCGGGTGGATCGTCAGGGTCTTCTCCCTCTCCTTGGGGGCTGGCATGTTTCCCCGCCACCGGGCGGGTTGCGTCCGCTCGATGCCCTCCTGGCCGGAAGTGGCGCGGCAAGGGGTCCCAGCCTGGGCGGGGCTTGGCTTCTTCGAGTGGGTGGAGGCTGGAGCTCCCAGTGCCGCACCCCGTTGTCGTCGGTCGCAGCCGCCCTCCTGGCGCTCGTGCTCTTCGGCCTCGCCCCCTCCGGCCTCGTTGTAGGGCGGCTCAGCTGTCGGCACCCAGTCGACGTCCAGCTCCTCCTCGACCTCCAGACACGGATCGGCCGCCCGCAGCTGCTGCTTCTCGATGCAGGGCAGGCCGAGCAGCTGCATGCGCGCCAGCTTCTTCTTCTGGCGCTTCGACTTGGCCAGCTGCTGCTTGAGGTTGAGGTACTCCAGGGTGGTGTTCACCTTGGTGGCGTCGAGCACCTCCATCTCCTCCACCGGCACGCGGTCGTCAGGGACGAGCACTTTCTCGGGGAACACGTAGCGGATGAGGTTGAACTTCTTCACGTTGTACGACGGCTTCGGCTTGACAATTTTCAGATTCTTGCGAAGGCGTCGGTGGTAGTGCAGTCCAAGCCGCTGATTTACGAACTCCTTCACTGCGCTCTGGCGCTCGCGTCTTCTCACGAGCAACGGCTCGGGGGGGAAGAGGTCCAAGTTCGGGTCATCCGGGTCTAGAACCTACAGTAAAGTGAGCGTAGATTTCACCAGAATTATTAGGAGTGTGCTGCACATTTATAAGCATATAAATTCGAGAGGTATAGTACGAGACTCTTAATAGCTCACAAGTAAGTGGGGGACAAAACAATAGTAACACATTTCGTTATGAAAGGCTTAATAGATTTAACATTTAACTGCAAAGCTAGTCGAAGTTATCTTCCTTTACACATATACACACTGTCTTCTGGCAAAAAACTTTTTTTAGGTTATATGTGTTCCAGATGAGTTAATCGATTACGTCGGGATTAAGCAAAGTTTTAATGCAAAATTTGTTATTTGTAATTGATTGCCGAGCCATGTTCTCGCACTTCAGGAATCTGACTCAAACCTTAGCAAACTTGAAAGCCCAAATCAGTTAGTTGCCAGGGATGGGCTGTCTGTATTGTAGGCTTCGGGCTTCGGACTTCCGAAGATTCTCACACTACCCACCTTGATGATGCCGCGCTCCACGTCCAGCTTGATGGGCTCCTTGTGCGGCACCAGCTGGTTGAGCCACTCCTCCCGCGTGAGGCATCCCTTCACTGTGCGCTGACCCTGCATGATCTGGTGGCGGTGCAGCTTGCCCCGCAGCCCGTCGCCGTGCTTGAAGTGGAAGCCCCTGAGCTGGAACTTGTCGCCGATCTTGCCCACCTGCAGGTAGTCCTCGTCGTCGCTGCTCTGCTCGCTGGGAGTGTCCCCCACGCTGCCCTGGATGCTCTCCTCACAGCGCAGCTGCTGCTCCGCGTCGGGGAGGTTCTTCAGCTTGCCGGTGCGCTCCAGGAAGAACTGTTGGGTGACGCGGGCCTGGTCCCGGCGGACGCAGTTCTCGCGGTGCATGACCGCCTTCAGCCTCTCCGTCTCGGTGAGCGTCTTGGGGAAGACCTTTCGCTTCCGGATGACGGGCTTGAGCTCCTCGTGCTTGCGGAAGCTGCGCTCGATGGCGTCGTCGATGACCGCGACGTCGGCGCGCAGGTCCTCCTCGGCCACGGTCCGTCCTTCGATCTCCTTGACGGCCGCCTCCTGCAGGCGGTCCTTCTGCAGCTGCTCCTCCTCGCGCTGCTTTTTCCGCAGGTAGATGTCCTTGTAGCGGGCGGCCCGCCGCCTCCGCTCCTCCTCGATCTTCAGCTTGTTGGCCGGCTTGTCCGGGCTGCGGTACAGATGGACCAGGCGCGGCGACCGCGGCGGCGACGGCTCCTCGACGGGCGTGTCCTTGATCGTGGTGTTGTAGCGCTGCGGCACCGCCAGCCGCTCCGCCTTAAGCTCGGCCTCCACGTTGACCTTGGTGTTCTTTTTGGTCTTGCGGCGCGCCATGTAGCGCTGGACGCGCCAGAAGGTGAGTGCGTTCTGCTGCTCGATCTCGTCCTGCTCGTAGGTGGTCTTGTAGTCCATGCCGTGGAAGTCCAGTCGCAGCGGGTTCTGCAGGTCGATCACCTCGCAGATGTGCGTCTCGGAGGTCTCCGACCCGGTGCTGGCACACAGATTGTCGCCGTGCTTGACCAGCCGGCTGATCAGGCTGAACTCCTGCTGCTTGGTGAGCGGTTTGTGGCGCAGGGCCACTGGGTTGACCAGGCAGTGCGACTTGCGCGGGTCCTGCGTGAGGAAGAACTTCTGCCGCGCGGGCGTCAGCTTGGCCAGCTGCTCGTAGTTCTTGGGGCAGCGCCCGATGCGCGGCCGCGGAGCCCCGGCAACGAAGCTGGCCGGGCACGGGCGCCGCCACTCCTCGCCCTGGAAGTTGGGCGGCCGCGTGGAGGGGGCGTGCATTGAGTCCACCAACTCCTCAGAGTCGGGCTCGCCGTTGGAGGAGTTCCAGGCCCGCTCGCTCTTCACTCCGTGCTCGACCTGCGGCTTCTGCGCGGTGGTGGTGGAGGAGCACGGGGACCGGCGGATCTTGACCGTCTGGACGCCATCCCTGAAATGGGAGTTGCTCGAGGTCGCGAAGTCGCGACCCCGGAGGCGTACCACGCTCCTGCCGCACTCGTCGCGCTTGTGGAGCTCGGTGCGCTTCACGTTGGCGTCCGGGAACTCCAGGTTCTGGATGGTCAGGATGTTGTTCGAGTCGCGCTGTCCGAAGAAGTCGATGTTGCGGAACTTCTCGATGGTCCGCTCCTCCCTCGACTTCCTTTCAGGATGCTTCCTTGGGGGGCATTGGCGCTTGCCCGAGGTATCGAGCTTCTGCCCTCTCAGGTTAGCAACCCCCACCGTTTCGGTGGAAGTGGAGAAGGCGGTTTTTCCCAAGACCATTTGGTTTTTGGCTTTAGCATGCATTTTCAAAGTCCTCTGTACAGACTGCAGCCTGTAGTTCTTGGCTTTCAAACCTGTGTTCGGCATCGACATGTTTCAGTTCAGATAAAATTAAAAATATATATAGCTCTATTTGTCGCAAGCGGGGTTTGGCAGGCGCAGCAATATGTCTAGGGCTCTGGACTGTTTGTTTGTCCGATTTCGATCTGCGCCCTGGGTAATGAAGTTTGAGTCCCCTTCTCCTTAGATAAAGCCTGATAGCCAGCCAGTTCACATGGCATGCTTCTGTCGTTTTTAAAACTATAAAAACTATAACCCAGATTGATACCTTTGGCGAGCCGATGATCCTTGTAGTCATCACAAAAGCTCTAGTAACAATACTTTTGTTTCCTATTTTTAGTTCGATCTTTACATCCGTGTATATAGCACTCCGAATAGCACTTTAGCCAAATTTTTCATTAATTCCCTTATTTCTATGGCAGCTATATGATATAGTAGTCCGATCTTTAAGAAATACTTTTTTAACAAATTGCCTAATGCCATGCAAAATGCATGAATGAACAACATCGCAGTTATGACGACTTTTTTATTCAATTCCGAATTCCTTCACCGATTGTTGCTATGCCAGCTTTATGATACAGCCGTATGATTTTTAATTTGTTTTTTAAAAACTCAGAAGTCATTGGAACTCTGTAAGTCCAAATAATCATGCTTGTATATAAAAACCAACCACGTTATAACTTTGTTCCATTAATTATACCCTTGTAGAGGGTACTACAATTTGCGTCAGAAGTTTGCAACGCAGCGAAGGAGACACCTCAGATCCTAAAAAGTCCTTCTGCTTTATGATATAGCTGTCCGATTTTTATGAAACTTCTTCCATAATTCGCGATTAGTTAAAAGAAAGTGTATACTCAGAAAGTCATGGACGTGCAATAAAAACGACGTGAACAATTTAATTTCATTAATTCTATACAGATTTTTCTATCTTTTCAATGGCAGCTATACGATAGAGTTATTCGAATTTGATTAAATGTAATTCGAAATTCGATAGTAGTTAAAGACAAAACAACAGAGTGATAAGTTTTTGTTCTCAATCTCTCGTATGGGAACTATTCCATATAGTAGCCCCACCCGCCCCGTTGGGGTATATGGGGTCTGAGGTATCTCCTTGTTGCAAACTTCTGACTGAAATTATAATACCCTTTTGCTCCGCAAGGGTATAAAAATTGAACAGAACCTGTTTAATTTGGCATGCACAGTTATTAAAATATTTAAGTTAATATTGTAGTCCTTGCGACTACCTTTGAAACATTGAAATCTGTTTAGAGAAGAAGAATAATAGAAGAATAATGATTTCATTAAATTATTTAGTCCTATCATGAACTTATGTGGCCCCATATCAAATGTTTTTATATGGGGAAGAGATGTCCATTGAAATGACACTTTACGTCTACATTACGAATTTTACTGGTACAATTTGAGAAATATCAGAAGAAATGATCGGGAACTTAAGATAGAAAATAATGTTGATATGAAAAGTTGTTCCTTTATTATTCAATTTTAATTGCCTTGGAGGCGTGTGCAGGCAGAGGATGAGTTCAAAAGTTTTCCCTTTTTTGTGGCATTTATTTTAAATTAATGAATTCACAGAACGTGGAAAGTGTAGGGTATTGTAATAATAAAAGTATATTTCACTACGGTTTTACATATTAAGCTTCGAACTGCAACAAAATAAACAACTTTTAATAACCAATCGACGGACGAAAAGGTAATGGTGTTTGATTTGGTCGAACTAAAAATGCTCTACGTTTACCTTATAACATTACCATTTATTTGCGCACCTTTTTTTATATCATAGGCATAAAATAAATATCTTATTTTATACAATATAAAATGTTACCTTCTTTAATTATTTTAATTTTGTTACATCTGGAAGTTCGGTTTCTTCACGTTATCTGGGAATACCAAATTGTTCATAACTTTCAGAAAAAAGTGTTGGAGCAGCCAGTCAAATAACCAACACACACGAGAGGAAAATTTTTAATTAAATTTTCACGGAAGTGCAAGCGTATTAAACGGAAATGTTGAACAGTTTAAATTCGCGCGACGCGACGAGCCACCAGCACTTCACCCCTCCCATTATCACCATTGGAAAGCCTTCACTCTCTTAACATCCGAGCCTTTGTTGTCCTTGCCAGCTTGTTTTTCAAGCGCTCGATAAATGTTCTGTTTAATTAAACTTAACGGAGTGTGAGGAGAACGCATTGAGCGCCGAAACAGGCCACAAAATTACCTTTCCCCCCGTTTCCGAAAATCGAGCCTTAGTTATTTTTATACCCTTGCAGAGCAAAAGGGTATTATAATTTCAGTCAGAAGTTTGCAACGCAGTGAAGGAGACACCTCAGACCCCATAAAGTATATATATTCTTGATCAGCATCACGAGCAGAATCGGAATCCGCCTGTACGTCTGTCCGTCTGTCCGTCTGTCCGTCTGTCCGTCTGTCCGTTTCCGCGCAAACTAGTCTCTCAGTTTTAAAGCTATCGTGCTGAAACTTTCCCAAAAGTTGTGTAGTTGTTGCACGCAGTATATAAGTCGGAACGAGCCGGATCGGCCGACTATATCGGATAGCTCCAATACAAGGGAATGAAATAAAAAATTCTCACTCTGTTGTTTTTGATCAGATCGACTTGATTTCTTCTAGATGGCGTTTTCAAACAGTTTTTGAATTTCGGATTAAATTTGATCAAAATCGGATAACTCTATCATATAGCTGCCATAGGAGAGATCGAAAAATATATAGAATTAATGGAAATAAATTGATTACATCGTTGTTTTTTATCCCACGAGCATGATTTTTTGAATATCAAGTTTTCTAACCACGTTTGTATTGAGAAAAAAGTTTCATAAAAATCGGACAACTATATCTTATAGGTACCATAGGAAAGATCGGAAGATCTATATAGAAATAACGGAAATAAAATTATAATATCGTTGTTTTTTATCAGATACCCATGATTTTTGGAATATAAAGTTTTCTAACGACTCTTGAATTACGAATTAAATTTGATCAAAATCGGAAAGCTATATCATATAGCTCACATAAGATCTATAGTCGAAAATATGGAAAATGAATAGAAAAATAGTCTTAGCTTCGATGTTGTTTAGCCTACATATCGACATATTTGATGACTGCAAGGGTATATAAGCTTCGGCTTGCCGAAGCTAGCTTCCTTTCTTGTTAATTCTTATATGGGAGCTACCTCAAACCTTATTAAGAATATATGTATGTACATATGTACATACTTCCTAGAAAAATCGACATAGCTTCGATGTTGTCTAGCCTCTATGTACATATTTGGTTCGACATATTTGATGACTGCAAGGGATATGAGCTTCGGCTTGCAAAAGCTAGCTTTTGTTCTTGTTTGTGTTATAAAAACTTGGATATTACATTTGGATTCTACTTGTGAACACGCAGTGAATTTGAATTAAACCTCTGCCTTTCTGTTTGAACGTCGATATTTTGAAAATGATTAGAGCTAGAATATTGGGATTCTACATGCAGATATTAGTGGTGAATACGCAGCAAAGAAGTTTTACGTCAACAAACCAAAACACAACATTTTGGTTTGAAGACTTAGATTTTGTTTATAAATACGCAGCGTATGGTGTTGTTACAAATTTGGCACGCCCACTTTTACACCCACCAGCTTATGGGGCGCCTCACCTCTGCTACATTTAGCGGGTATTCGAGTCGAGGCACCCAACAAAAGCGTTTTCTCTTTTCTTTACATTCAGCAGTTGGTTTTATTTTAAAATAAGAAAGGAAGCTAGTTTCGGGAACCCTTGCAGTCATCAAATATGTCGAACAAATTACTTAAAGGATAAACAACATCGAAGCTGTGACGATTTTTCTATTAATTTTCCATATTACTATATCCCATATTACTATATGACAGCTATTCATATTACTATATGACAGCTATATGATATAGTCGTCCGATTTTGATGAAATTTAATTTGAAATTTAAGAGTTATTAGAAAACTCTATATTCTAAAAATCATGATTGTCTGATGAAATCAACGATGTTATCATTTTATTTCCGTTATTTCTATACAGATTTTTCGATCTTTCCTATGGCAGCTATATGATATAGTAGTCCGATTTTTATGAAAACTTTTGGGAAAGTTTCAGCAAGATAGCTTTAAAACTGAGAGACTGGTTTTATGATCGTCATCGTGATGCTGATCAAGAATATATATACTTTCTGGGTTGATGTCTTCTTCACTGCGTTTCAAACTTCAGACTGAAATTGTAATAGCCTTGTGCTCTGCAAGAGTATTAAAATCATGCATGTCTGATAAAAAACTTTTAACTTATTTTTGGTAAAGTTTCATTCAGATAGCTTTAAAACTGAGAGACTTGTTTACATAGAAACAGATCTATTGGGTTTTGGTTTTTTGTCGAGCTTTATTGGCCACAGACCATAAAGATAGATTGTTGTCCTTCCGCGTACCTGCGGTGTTATCAGACATATAGTTACTGCTTAAGCAGAAGATGGTTTCAAAGTTCCCCGAAAAGTTAATTTTAAAAGAAAAGAATATTAACATTGTCCTCCACGAACCTAGTTCGCCTCTTTGAAACAATTTGTATAATTTTATGGTTGATTTTTTGTTCCCCTAATTTAAAAACTATTCAATTCTCGACACTGTTAGGCACATGTTAACAGCTATAGTTTGTTTGTGAGGTAATCCGTTAAAATTTGCAGTCTGATTTAAAAAAGAATAGTACATTTTTCTGGGTGTACATTTAACGTCGCATTTTATAATGCTTTGCTGTGTTGTGCATTTCCTAGTTTTTTCCTGAATCTCGTTGTCTATTTTATTAAAGTGAGAATGAATGAAATAAAATATTTGGCTCTTGATTTATTCACAAACGTCCACAGAGATTTTTATGATGGAAAAGGGGCCGGATTGGGTTGGTCGCTTGTAATATGCAGTGTGCGACTGACTGCGTGTGTGTGCGGACGTCCTGTGCGTTTGTTATTAAATAAATTGAGTGACATACACACACGCACACGAAGCCACAATAGTCCAGTCCAGTCAGTCAGTCAGTCACAGCTGAGAGGAAAGTCGAGCTGACTCCTGGCGCTGGATCTGCTCCTGGCCCTAGGTAGTTCATCATGTCATGAAAATTGTATGGAAATTTAATTGAAAACATAAGCCAAGGA